GGGGGGGGGGGGGGGGGGTCTCAGTGGGAACACCCCCAAAAACACACCAGTACTGCCTGTTTGCGCTTAGCCTCCTGGGTGTGAGCGGTTTATGTCGGGCTTTTCAGGGTCTTTCAGGGGGGAGCTGATGTCAGGCAAGGTTGACCGTAGCGGGAAGTGAGCAGGGGTGATTTACCCTGGCCGTCTCGGTGTGTGCGTACAGGTGGTAGTCGACACGGCGCAGATGGAGAGCAAGGAGGCATATGCCCCCCACATCACCCTGGAGGGGAGCACGTTCGTGGTCCAGGTTCCTTCCACATGGTAAGAGTGAAACGTCACCGTTAAGAAGCATGCATGTGTACAGCCGTTTCTGCTGTTATTCCGCGTCAAACAGCTCGTATGCGATTGGCAAACGAGGAAGACCCCGGTATAAAGCAGGTCCCTCATTGGCTAATACGCTGTTTCACCCCCCACGTAGTAACACCCCAAGCATGCAGGTCTGTTTAAGAATGTGCTTCCCTTTTGGAAGGGAGCGTTTTTAGGTGATGTAATGGAAAACTCCTGAATCAGAAATCTGGTCGAAGTATCACCAATATAACTGCATCATTTCAAACCTTAAATCTGACTTGAATTTAGAAGGAAATTGACGAAAAACTGCTTTATCTGTTACATCACAGAAATGCATTTGTGTACATAGATACTGTGGTTGCCAAAAACGATTGCACAGTAAAGAAGACTTCATGTTGGTGTAGAACTATTGTTATGTCTGTCAAAGTGTGTCATCTTAGCCATTTTAAAACTTCTGCTGAAATCACCCCAGTATTTGCAGCAACCATCCAGTGCACCTATGTTTTTTGACTTGACCACTTCATGCACCTCGTATAGCTAATCAGTATCTCATTGGCTTTAACTAATTTTCTGAGCTGGTGGTGAAATTTAATAATACATGGAATGGCTGGGGTGTCCCTGAGGAGAGGTTTGGTAACTGAAGTGGTGTTCATCTAGATACCAGTAAAAGTTATGTGTGAATCTTAATTTGCATATGTTCTAATGCTAAATTGTTTTGTTCTGAGCAAAAGTGCACATACTATCCAGATAAATAGCTTTAAAAAAAAATTTACTGCCTAAGACGTTTGCACAGTACTGTGTGTGTGTGTGTGTGTGTGTGTGTGTGTGTCTACATATATCTAAACATGTGTACCCACTGCTTTCACTTTTCCTTTCACTTTGGAGACGTTCTGTCATACCTGTAGTTTGTAGGTGATTTGATGATTTTCAGCACTTTCTCGCTGTGGTGAGAGAGTATGGGGTTTCGAGCCCCATGCTGGGTTGGATTTCTGCCTGATGTCAATGACCGACTGATTGCATCCACCTGTTTGTCTCAGGCGGTGACCTACAGCACTTGGTGTCTCGCTTACAGCGGGTTTTGCGGCCCCGTCTCTCTCCTCCTGTACCGTGTCCAGGTGCCTGAAGGAGGATCCAGCCACCATGTCCCTCCTGCAGCGCAGCCTGGACCCCGAGAAGACCCTGGGCCAGGTGGACGTTCTCTACACAGCTATCTTCGACCTCAACAGGTGGAAGGAGCGCAGGTATCAGATAGTTCTTTCTGAGGGTTGTATGGAAAGCGAAAGTGGGTGTGGACCTCAATGCCCTGGATTGACCTGGTCCCTCCTCCTTCAGAAATCAAGTCCTGCCCACCATCCAGATGCAACTGCAGCGCGAGGCGCCCGACCTCCCACCCGGAAGCAGCTCCAAGTCTTCCGGTGGACTTCCCAAGACCATCTCCAAGCTCACCTCCAAGTTCACCAAGAAGGCCTCCTCCAGTGGCAGCAGTTACTCCATCCCCAGCACGCCCTCCCGCTCCCTCTTCTCTGCCACTGGCTCCGAGGACAAGACCAAAGCCCCGGGGCCTCCGGACGGCCGGGTGCCTGGTGTTTTCCCGACAGGCAGTCTTCCGGGCACCCCTGACCCCGGTGGACCCCAGTTAGCCAATGGCTGCCCTGCCGACGACAAGGGCACAAACCTGCCCACGGACCAGGAGATGCAGGACGTCATCGATTTCCTCTCAGGGTTCAACATGGGCAGGTCCCAACAGGCCTCGCCCCTTGTCAAGAGGAGGAACTCGGTGGCGTCTGCTGGAGCAGCCGATCTGAAAACGCCCCCGGCGCAGGCAGCGCCCCCCCCTCCCGGCCCCCCCCACGGGGGACTGCAAGCGCCACCACAGGTCATGCAACCCCAGCAGCAGCAGCAGCAGCAACAACAGCAGAGCCATCCGGGCCAGCAGCCACCTTCCCAGCAAGCTTTGCAGTTCTACCAGCACCTCCTGCAGCCTATTGGCCAACATCAGCAGCCCCCGCCCCCACAGCTTCAACAGCAGAGGGTGCCGTCCAAGTGGCTAGGCAGCCCTGGACAGCACGCTGGACCCGGCCCTCCAGCCGGCCTCTCCCCCATCGGGCCTCTAAGCCAGTGGGGCTCTCCAGGGCTCCCAGACCTCAGCTCCGACTTGTACAGCCTGGGTCTGGTCAGCAGCTATATGGACAGCATCATGTCCGAGATGCTGGGCCACAAGCCACAGGGGCCGCGGAACAACACCTGGCCCAACCGCGAGCAGACCGATGGGGCCTTTGGCATGCTGGGAGATGTGCTGCCCTTTGACCCCGCTGGTGAGTGGGACCTCTCAGACCTGGCAGAATGCTCTAAAGCAGTGAAGCAGTGCTTCTCAGTGGGTCCTCTCAGACCTGGCAGGACGCTCTAAAGCAGTGAAGCAGTGCTTCTCAGTGGGTCCTCTCAGACCTGGCAGGATGCTCTAATGCGGTGAAGCAGTGCTTCTCAGTGGGTCCTCTCAGACCTGGCAGGACGCTCTAATGCGGTGAAGGAGCGCTTCTCAGTGGGTCCTCTCCGACCTGGTAGGACGCTCTAATGCGGTGAAGCAGCGCTTCTCAGTGGGTCCTCTCCGACCTGGCAGGACGCTCTAAAGCGGTGAAGCAGCGCTTCTCAGTGAGTCCTCTCAGACCTGGCAGAACGCTCTAAAGCGGTGAAGTAGCACTTTTTTAACCGGTTTAGCCTCAGGACCCACTTATTTCCTTGGTCATTAAGTCACCACTGAAATTATTTTTTTTTAACCTATTTCATGAAAAATTAGCACAGTAATAGTAAATAGAACAGTAACAGTGGCACAATGTCTTTATGCACTGTTAAAAAACAAAAAGAGTCATTAATGAAAATAATCCCGTGACCCACTTTTGGGTGACAACCCGCCAGTTGACAAACACTGCCCTAAAGGGTCTTCCATTAGTAAGGGGTGTGAGGTGTGTGATTTTTACTCTGAACATACTTTGGTAATCATGAATCTAAAATTATTTATGCAAATTTTGTTTACAAAATGATCACACACATTCAGGTATTAGAGATTCATTTGATGTGGTCACGAATTTCACACACTCAGATACACACACATTTTCAACGTTATGTCTACCTCACAAAATGACATCTCATTTAAAATTCCCAGCGATGCCGTATACATTTCAGGTTGTTTACGTGGGTGGATGTGAATCCGATAGGGCCTGGCCTTAAAACAGAAAACGTTATGGCAGGTTTTTTTCTGTTCCAGTTTAACTGCTACTTTTGGTCTGGGCATTGTTACCATGAAAAAAAAGTATGAATTGTTATTTTACTGTTGTTGTTATTATTAGCATTATTATTATTGTTAATAATAATAATAATAATAATAATAATAATAATAATGAAAAGAAACATTATTTCTGATTAAATTTAGTCAGTCTATTTTATTTTTGTTTTATTTGCCAAGAAGTGTTTAGCCGCTGAGAGGGGGGACATACTAAGACTAGACGTTTCTATATGACAGACTTGACATTAAACCCTGCGCTCAGCTCTGGATACTCCGGGGGGGTGGTGGTGAATGTCTTTAGGGGTACTTGTGTCCATTCGACACCACGCTTGGATGACCTGATCTGATGGTGACTGGAGGGGACTGCGTCACCGTTAGTTGCTATTAGCTGGTTGGCTAACTGTGATGGCCGACAATACCCCAGCTACTGTAGACCACATCTAGGCATTCAGGATTTTGCAAAATGGACCATTTTGGTCCTCTGTGCTGTCACCGTCAGTTTTCAATTGAGCATTTCCACCAGCAGCTAACCAAAAACGCACACAAAGCAAAACGCCCGTTTCCAAATTATTATGTTGCTACTTTTTTGATATAAGACTGATTTGACAATATCACTTGACCTATGCGGACAAATTTCTTTTAGCTGTGACTGTGTGCAGCGTATCTGTGTGCAGCGTATCTGTGTGCAGCGTATCTGTGTGCAGCGTATCTGTGTGCAGCGTATCTGTGTGCAGCGTATCTGTTAAGCGGACGCTAATGTTCAGCTGCCTGCATGAGGGGGCTTGTTTATTGAGGTTGCTAAGAGTGACTTTATGACCCCCTCATTAAGCGGCGCTTGGGGGACAAGGGCTCTTTGTGAATGAATCAGACTGATTTTCTGTGTGCTGGGTGAAGCGTCCCGCCTAGACCGGCCTCAGCAGCTCCCCCTCTGGCGGTGGAGACCTCAATGCCTTACGTATATAACTGGTTCGGTCGAGGTAGGGCGTATTTGTCAAGGAAATCCAGCTGTATGGCAAACACAGGGCAGACAGTCAGGGCTCCCTAACGCTTCGTGTGCTTGGTGTAGGATTCACAGCTCAGCTGTCTGCCAGATCACAACAAAGACTGCAGTATTCTCTGCGTATATCCAACACCACACCCCGTCACCTTGACAATACAGTCAGTAGAGGGTCGACCATTGAGGAGCTAGAAATGTTAGCTGTGTTTTTACACTTTATTCTACTTATTAAACTGTGGCCTCTGGAAGATGGACATGTTCATAAATTATAATTTGGAGTTGTCCTGCTTTACAGAAGTAGTACCTTTGTGGGCCAAAATGTAATTTAATTAAAATAAATGTATTTTTACGTGAAATGAACCTGAGTGCTGTGCAGTTAGACCCTTTGCTTTTGGCCACATAGATACACGTGGGATTGACGGGCCCCACACTGGTAAACAATGACAAGTGTGTCTCATTTAGCCTCAGAAATATGTGAGTTGGTGCTCAGCTTGTCATAGCCCTGTTTCACTTCTGTTATCAGATCCTTTCCCCGCATTTCAGGTATTTTTGGCATTTAGCTGTTAACCTGTAATGGAATATATTTCATCATATCATTACTGGCATGCCCAGACTGTCAAGATTAATATCTCTGTGTGACAGTTTTTTTTAATCCTCCTTACTTTAATGTTTTTGGAATAAAAAAAAAAAACCCAACAATCATTGATTTAGTCAAAGCAAGGTTACTCAGAAAGGAGAAAGAGGGTAGATGATTTAATCTTTAATTTTGTCACCTAGCATGTGGTGAACAGTGGAGTAATTTGCTTAGCTGGCTAAAGGCAGCACAGCTCTGACTACTGCCTGAATCTGTCATTTGACAGTGCAGGACACCCTGTAAAACAGTCTATTTCGTTTGACGCATTCAAATTTGTATCGGAGGCAGCATCAGTATTAACGGGTGTAAACAAAGCTCTGGATTGTACTAATGTTACTGATTACTTAGTGGTGCCGCTTAGTGGTAATTGGATGACTGACATTGACAATGACGTATAGTCAGCTCACTGGTAAGCAGCTGGTCTGCATTAGACCTGCATCTAACACCTCTTGGTGGTGACATCTAGCCATCTTCCATAAGAGCTTACATGCTGGTAGCCTGGAGCCCATCCCAGGCAGCAGAGAGCAGAACACGCTGTGTGGGGCAAATGTCTGTGGCAGGGCTTACACACACAGACACATTTGTATTCATATTTTGGTGGGGAACGTCCATACCCAGAAGAAACCAGCACAACACAGGGAGAACATTCTAGGGAGTTTTTCCTCGCCATTGTCGCCTCTGGCTTGCTCACTGGGGGCTTCGGGCACAGATAATGTAAAGCGCTTTGAGACAACGTAATGTTGTGAAAATGCGCTATACAAATAAAATTGAAACGAATGCAAACTGCACAGACTGAGCAGGTGTGCGATTTGAACCTGCAGCCCTGGAGGTGCGAGGCTACATCCCATAATAACACTAAGTCTGAATTGTTGGCTGGATCCCTGAGTGGTGGCCCACAGTGCAGTCAACTCTGAAGTCTGAAGGGTGTAATCAGAGGGCTCATAAAAACATTCATTTGATTAACTGCTTTTAAGCAAGTCCTGTTACGATGTTTTTGCCATTCAGTGATTTAATACCAATAATATAAAGTGTTAGATGCCAAACATGTGACTTAAACTGTGTAAACCACCACAGTGTTGATCTTCCGTCCATCTCTGGCTTTTTGGACCTTTTCATTGTTTTGTGGAAGTCATTCATCAGCCAAGCTTAGGTGACACGTTAGTATATGCGCTGGTCCTGGAAGGTCTGTCATGGGGGTCGCATGTCCGTGAGCATGAGTGCTGTGTATGTGACACAGCAGCAGATAGCATGGGTGCAGGAATCTATTTTTTTCTTTATTTCTTTTTTTTGTAGGAGTCTGATATTTTTCTGTACATGTGTGCATTAGTTCAGTGGTGTTTTACGGTTTGTGTATGAATTGATTAGGGGTTTGGATGAGTCATCATTTCTGTTGTGGAGAGGACTCCGTTTCGCATGAACACAAGCCATTGTGTCTTTTCTGCCACCGTAGACAGTCGGGTTTGTTGTGCTCAGTGCCGGAGCTGAATGGCCTCAGAACAGTTGAGTCTGTCACAATCTGACGATGCCCTCCCTCTTCCCTACCCCCCCCCTCCATGTGCAGTCGGCTCCGACCCCGAATTTGCCCGCTACGTCGCTGGAGTCAACCATGCCATGCAGCAGAAACGGCAGGCGCAGCATCTGCGTCGCCCGAGCAATGCCCGCGCCAACTGGCCAATCACGGATGAGCCTCACAGAACATGGCCGCACCCAGAGTACTACACAGAAGGGTGAGTCTCTAACAGTGAGATTAAGGGATCATTTTCATGTTCCCGAATGCTCCATGGCTAAACTGCTGTGTTTACACTCTGCTGAATATGAGTAGTATGTTAAGCTGACTGGACAGCCAAGCCTCCTATTGAGCCTATGCTGTTATGTACAGGGACTCCATGAGTGGCAGCTGGTCAGCCAATCAAGGGGATTCAGCCAGCTCCAGTGATGAGACCTCCTCAGCCAATGGGGACAGCCTCTTCTCCATGTTCTCAGGACCTGACCTTGTAGCTGCAGTCAAACAAAGAAGGTTGGACTTAACACTGGTGTATGTTAATGGCTAACAAGTCCAAGACTGGTCTCAAAACCACTTTTTCCACTTACTCAGTCTTGTCTTGGAATTGAAAGCATTTCTACTCAGTCTTGACGTAGTGTGGACTCCCTCAAAATCTTGGTCTTGACTTGGACTCTACTTGTTAAGGTCTTGGTCTTGACTTGGTCTCAATATAGATGCTCTCCTCCACATCATTAACATACATGGCTTCACCTTTTCTCACAAGTAATATGTTTTTATTTCTCTGTTCACAAATTGTTGTTTAAGAATTGCTACAGAACAATTTAGATGTTAAAGCGGAATGCTTCAAAAAAACACTAAAACGGGATGATATTTTTGGGGTATGTGGAGAACGGCCATTGACTGCTCCTCCTTGTCAGGTCCAGGTCGTTTGCTCAGTCTGTCTCTGGCTTTACTCAGTCTTCCAGCCTGAAAGAAACTTGCACACTGACCTCATTGGGGGAAATCAGTCAAGATGTTCAGCGAACTATCTTTTTTTGTCTTTATGCAGAAAACACAGCTGTGGTGAACCTGAAGCATGCACCCTCCCTTCACCGCCTATCCATCACCCCGGGGACGACGGCGGCCAGGTAAGGAGCTGTGCTGCTCTGTGGTGGTGTCTTTGAGGTGCTGGAGAGAGGGCCCTGTGTGAAGGTCCAACTCTGCCTCCACAGGACAGCAAGACGAAAACCTGGCCACCCAAAGCCCCCTGGCAACACTCCTCCCCTCACACCAACACACTGCCCAATCTGAGCTCTTCCTTGTACCAGATGACCATCCCCTCCAGCCAATGGAACGACTCGATGCAGATGCTGCAGTCGCAGGTGTGGTCCACGGCGGGCGACTGCCCCGCCTCTGTGGGCCTCTCTTCTGCCTTCCCATTCGCTACGCAGCAGCCAACCACAGTGCAGCAGCAGCAGCAACAGCAGCAGCAACAGGTTTCTCAGCACAAACCCATCAACAAGGGCTTCAAATCCTTCCCGCTCAAACACGAGCACAGGCCCTCCTACCTGCCTCAGTACTGATCACAGGTGCCGAACCTGCTGCTCTTAGTGTGTCCTATGGCCAGGCAAACGGCATCCTGTATCAAATGTGCCACTTGGGGATCTTTTGCCGATGTGTATATAGGCCTGTTGGATACTTGTAGTGCTTTCCTAGTGCTCTTTCCCCTTCTACCAAGCTAGTTGTGACTATTAATTTTCATTTGCATCATTTTTTAAAAATCTAAAACCTGTATAATGGAAGGAAGGTCTTTATACATAGTTTATTGTCATTATTATTTTTTAGACCAACTGCATTGTAGAGAGTGAACGGAAGTGTGCATCTGTCCCATTCCACGAAAGCTCCCCAAAAGCCTCCCTCGCTGTAGCACTGGCAGCGGACTGTGAGATCGGCATAGCGGCGGCTGAGGTAGCTGAGGCTCCGCCCCCACCAATGAGAGCGCCCTGTGCCGTCGCGGCCGGCGTTTCTTCTGACATACATTTGTTGAGCTGCCATGGCTTGGACGTGGTTGGGGGGGGGAGAAGGACCACTTTGCAAGACCGATACCCCCCCCCCCCCACTACTGTTCAACTAGTAACTGCCAAATCTTGTGTTTGTATCACGCAGGACAGACCAGACTACAGCTCACACTTACTGTTCCATAGCTTAGAAGTTACTTAAACTGAAAAATAAAAATATATATATATATAAAATTATATATATCATTCTTTTTATTAAAGAGGCTTTGAGCTGGCTCAGCAGAAATATAATCATTGCAGATGTGTAATATGAAAAAACATACACTATTTTTTTTCTTTTCTCCATACACTTGGAGAGAGATTCACAGTAACTTGTGCCATGTTGATATTTATAACACATTCATAATCTTAGTTTTCAACCAAAGCGTTGTTTGGAGGATGAATGGTGCTTCAGAATATATATACATATTAAAAAAAGGAGATATTAATCATCAGTAAATTATACTTCACTACACTAGAATCTAGCAACATTTTGGGGGGGGGGGGGGGGAACTATATGGTCAGATATTTAAGTTTGCGTTTTTTGTTTGACAGGTTGTTTCTGAATGACAGTGACAAAAAAAATCAATACAATATTTTCTTGTACAAATTATTGACAGTATTAATCTTATTTTTGTATTTTCCTAAATCTTATACCATTACTGTACATGTTTATGTTGTCATATACCATTATGTATGTTTGTTAATGTACTATAGTCACATTAGTGACTGATTATCCGGTCTCCCAGTTACAATAATGAAAAGCACATTTTTCTTTCTACAGAGTTTAACTACATTGTATCTTTAAAGATTACCAAAAATATGCCATTATAAACACTAAAACATTATTGTAATATTGGGGTGTTTTTGAGCCCATATTTCTTCAGTTTCTATGGTGATGGGCTATATTTATATGCCCAGAATGTCAATTTTTTTGTGAGGTTTGCAGATGCCAGTGTTGCCTGTATTTATGACGACAACATGTTTTCAGAAAACTAACATACTTACCATGTTTACAGAGAATTGTTTGCTGTATATAACTTTTTATAGTTCTGTGCTTTGCACAATCAAATGTAGGGTTTGTTGCTTTTGTCTGTGTTAATCTCTCAGATGTTTCCACGAAATGTTTATATGAACATGTATGTATGTACGTATGTATAAAAATCCTCAAAGACCTTGAACTGTAACTGTTAGCATTTCTCAGCTGTGTCACATGGTTCACCAGTTGCTTCTCCTTAAAGCGAAAACGTCCCCCTGATAGTAAGAAATATGAAGGGGCAGGAATGCTTGGCTTATGTTGTTTGCTGTTCTCTTCAGCTGGTAACTGAATCTTCCATTTTGTTCCAGCAATGCAAAAAAAAAAAAATAATAAAAAATAATTACTAGCAGTTTGGAACAATCCTTATGGCATGGTGATTTTTTTTTTTTTTTTTATGATTTACCCCGTGTTGTGTTCTACAAAAACATACGGCTTATACTCTAGGTCTGGGGATTGACTTTTCTAAGTGCCTTGGACGAACGATGTGTCAAATGGTTTCTTTAGAAGAAATCCTGCATGCTGGTGAGCGAGTGCTCTGCTCAGCACACTCAGTACAAGATTATCAAGAGCATTCATTCATCTCAGCAGCTCTTGAGTGCTGATAGGGTTAGACAGCTGCAGTTTACTTGCTATAGATTTCAATTTTTGTTTTTTTGATCTAAGTCTTTTTATAATTTCACAATTTAACCAGTACAGAACAGTAGGAAGAAAAAAAAAAAAAACCAGAACCATTCTCACCCTCCCACCCCCATAAATAAAAAAAAATAAAAATATAAAATAGCGTACCTATAAGCTACAGCCATAATTATGTAGTTATGTTGGTTGCTACCATGTTTTCGACAAAGGACATGAATGGTTGCGAGGTAGCATAGAACTTCCCAACAGATCCACCAATGGTATATTTTATTTTCTCTAGATGAATATGACACATAACCTCTAATCCAATGCCCAAATGTTGGAGGACGATGATCCTTAGTTATTTCAATTTTACTTGGAACTGAGTTTTTATATATTTACTTTTGTAAATACCAACTCTTCTGTAAAATGGAGGGAAAAACATGTAGTCTAGAAACAAGTGACTTTTTCAAGAATGTTATATATCTAATTTAAAAAAAAGTTACTGCAGTAGGTAAACTGAAGGAAACTTCAAAAACAGTGGTGCCCCCTACAGGATAAAAAAAAAAGCAATACTTACGGTTCTTTGAATATAACTTTCCTTGCTTGGGATGTGTGCGCAAACACAGACAGACAGACCAACCGACAAAACTAAGTTGTACAGATAAGTACACCCAAAAGCCTCAAAGTCAAGAGCTGGGGGACTGTGTTTACCTGTGTGAATCTGCCTGTGAAGGACTGGCATCCCCCCAACCCCCTGGTTTCAACCCCCAGTGCGAATGGCTTTAAGAACTAAGTTCGCCTTAAAAAAAAAAAAAACCACATCACCTAAAAACATCAAGCATTTGAGGTCTCAGTGAAGTGTGTAGTTTAGTCACTTTGCATAAAGATATTTCTAGCGATATTTATACATTTACATAAAGGTTTCGAATTAAAAAAAATATATATGTAAAATCAGTGACAGACACCCAAAAAGAACTCAAGACAGCACAAAGTAAGGCAACCACATATGTTAAAAGCAATCGCGAAACGGAAACGGCTTCTTACGTTTAATGGAAATATAAATTACAAGACATCCGTCAAAAATCAAGAATAGGTAATATAATACATTTCATAAGTATCATCATAACACACTTGTTTTATTTATTTAACATAGAAGCATCAGTGTCCTTCAGGTCATACTTCCGGATATGTTCATGACGATTTCTCTCCACGGTCACACGGCGCCTAAAAACAAAGTGTATACTCGTGCTTTTTATTTATATTTTACCTTACGGTATGACATTGAGCAAACCTATATTAATATTTGTAATAAAAGCTGTATTAATTCCAGGTTATTTTGTTGACTAAAACTGACACAAAGCATTTTATCGACTTCTAAAGTAGTGTTGAAACTTACAGGGTCAGTCGGTAGATCGGGACTTGCATCAGCAATAGTTCCCAAATATATTATGTTACGGTGCAATATCTGTTGATATCTAAAGATGGAATGACAATTCAGTGTTAATTTGAACTTTTATTCAAAAATATACAACTCTGGACAATATTACTGTAAGTATTGCAGTCTGATACTGTGCTGGTATGTATCACAAATAAGTATAGTATAGCTCAAAGGTGTTTTTATTGTTATTGTAGTTTCATTATTGTATTTTATGCCAAAAGGCAAGGATGCTGCTGATGATAGACAGGTATTATACGCGATGTTAAATAAATATTAATAACTCACTTACTGGACACATTCGGCAGCTCTTCCTTTCTGCATGTATTCCGCAATACATCGTACCAGCTGGTCATTCTCATCCAGTAACTACATACAAGTACAAGAGAAGAATTTAATCTTTTGGAGATCACGGCAGTTTATCTGAGCATTTTAAAAGCTGTCTTGAATTTGACTGACCGTTGCATATTGCAAACATAAGGGGCATAAAAATAAAGAGCGCCCACGATTTAACAGCGGTACACACCGCGATAATTCATACGTTCCATAGCCACATACACATCTTGTGGCGCAATGTGCTGTGTGCGTTTTGTTTTAATTTTTACAATTATTGGAAACCCATCTTTTGGTCACTTGCTGTCGCAACGTTGTTCTTGGGGAGCGTTATTTCATGACAAAGGACTTTAGCATATAAACACCGTTATATACTATAGTAGTCCTAATCCTAAACTGCCCAGCTGGGACAAGCCCCGCAGCCATGCCACAGTGATGTATCGACTTCCACCAGAGGCTGCCGGTTATTAATCTGAAGGTAGGGCTGCGCAATATGACCTCAAATCAATATCACGATTAATCAAATATTTTTTTCTCAATTGCGATTAATGAACAATTATTTTGTTTTTGTCTGACCTCACTTGACTAACAAGGTTTGTACTGTAAATAATGCTCAACTATTAAAGCCGGGATATTTTTTTTTTCTAATGAAAGACTGCACATCTTTATAATTTTAAAATAACTGAAGAAAACACAAAGTTGAACCATTTATGGTCATTTATTGAAAATTTTGAACAATCGCTTGAAATAACGTTTTATGGAAAATGGCACATTTTAGTTTTAATGTAAAATCAGTCAGGCCGATCTCTAAGTGTCATTTGTATATGTATTACATGTATACAAGGTAATAAACCGGACAGTGTCACTATTTTCTGAATTTTGTTCACTCTCAAAACAGAGTACAGCTGATTCAAACACTTCAAATTACAGTACTCCACAAATTAAATTACCTACTTTTTAAATTTATTTTTATTTTTTTGTTTATTTATATATATAAATAAACACACACACACACACACACACACACACTGTATAAGTATTAACAGAATATAAAAAAAACCCGAAGTAACCGACATGGGCAAGATCACGTCGATTAGAGGTTCTGAATGTCGGTTTTGATTAATTTTCGATTAATTGCCCAGCCCTATCTGAAGGTGCCCATTATTAATCTGGAAGTGTCCGTTATTAATCTGAGGGAGCCATGCAGCTTTGGCACTCCTATAAACACGTCTCTGAAGCTCTACTCTCCTCGTTGTTTCAGCAACCACAGAATATATTACAGCTACACGGCGAACAAGTGCGAACGAACGTTCCTACGCCACAAAGCTCCAGCAAAATGTTGTAAACTACAAGCATTTGCAAAATACGAAGCGAGACTCGGAACTTGGGTTTACACAACAAGTTTCATAAGCAGAATTTACCCTTTGTATTGTTTCCTGGTTGATCTGTGCTTTCCCCCGCTGCTTCTTCGGAACGAAAACAACAGACATCTTATCTTACATATATAAAGAGGAAAAAAACAAACAAATAAAAGTCTAAGAGGCACCACAAAAAAGGCAGGACTTAACTAGTGTCTCTGCGAAGCAGAGCTGTACAACATGTAAATATAGCCGCCATTTATCCACCGGAAGTGTCGCGTGTCTGTGTCCAAAAAGAACGCATTGCTTCTCACCAAATTAGAAACGCTTTTCGGATAGGAAAAATCCCGTTCTTGGTCGAATTATTACATTTTAGCATCAACAAGAGTGGCACGACAAACGTAAACTACACAAATTAATTTTGTTAAATAAATAAATTTAGAAAACATGTAATTAGATTAATATATTTGTGTTCCCACTTTGCATTATATATACACAGCCGTGAAAAAATTAAGAGGCCACTTTATATTTTTAAATAAATCTGCATTTTTAAACCCTGGTTTAAACGTGGTTCTGCTGGCGGAAGGCGTCACTGCGGGACAGGCTGCTCAGAATTTCTAAGACAACAATACCATCAACTTATCTAGCAGTGCCTCATAAATCGGAGGATGACCGCAAGTGAGCTGCAAAAACAATTGGAATCATTAACTGGTGTGAAGTGCGCTGCTAGGACAATTCATAACAGGCTCATAGAAGCAGTATTGAAGTCCCGTAGCGGAAGGATGAATCCCTTAATCGATGAGAAACAGAGAAGAGCCGGGTGGTGGTATAAAAAATGTATATTTTACACAGAAGCATATCTATAAATTGAGAAATGAGTGAAACTAAAAATTTTGCTGTAATCTCATCATTTTTTTCCAGAGCTGTGTTCTCTCTCTCTCTCTCACACACACACACACACACACACACACACACACACACACATAAATGGTTTGATAGAGGAGTTTGTGCACTGCAAACATGTGCCATGACCCAGAAAGATCAGGCCTTCACAACAGAGGTTGGAACATTACACTTCTCTGTTGCAGACAAACCCTGAGCAGGTGTGGGGGAACTGAATCTGCAACAAAATGTATATATTAGGGATTGAGTTTCTCCTACTTTAGTGTTTGACATGGTGAAAGACTTAGGTGGGTGTGAGGATGCTTACAAGTTCTAGGATGAGGGCTGTGCAGTTTTTCTTCCCAGTGAATAAAAGGGTTGCCTTTGCGCAGTGTTGGTTGAAGCCCATGTGGTGCCCCCTGTCTGAAATAACGTGAAATTGGCTTGCTAAGTCAATGCTTTATGAACCATTTATTGTACTTTCTGACCCCACTAGATGGTGCTCTCTGTTCAAAAAAGTACTCAAAGCATGCTCCAACGTAAACCAAGAACACCATCTAGTGTGGTCATCAAATGGTTCATGATGACTGGTTGATGACTGGTACTGCCTCTATGTGACCGTGAGATGCAGAAAGGAAACCCCCTTTGTCGGTTTGTGAGTAAATTCAATTCACACATGGGCACAGAGATACCTAGCATAATTAGGACCTTTTGCGGGACAGAGAATTTGTGAAGAGAAATTGTCTGGATGAAAAGGAGGCCTGTTATGCAGGTAGGGGCTGGGCTGAAGGGCCGCAGTAGTTGTGGTAATGAAAGCTTATGCTCTGGAGAAATTTATGGAAGCCATGGACATATGGTATTGGGTGGCCAAAAAGATGCTGTCTGATGCCTTTGGAGAGGGAGATAGGACCTTAATCAGGTTATATTTACTAGCAATGAGTAAGTGCTGACCAACTTGAACAGTGGAAGGAACATTCTAAGGAGCTCCTTACCTAGAGGACAGAGTCAGATAAAATGATATGGGTATGATGATGCCACCTTACTGGCTACCAAGGGAGATCTTCCAGGTATGTCCCACCTGGTTGAGGCCAAGTTGCAGACAAAGGACAGACTGCTGGGATTGTTTCTCCCAGCTGGCTTGGGAACTTAGGGGATCCCCTGGTGGCACTGGAACGAGGTCTTATTTGACTAAGACTTTCTACGGTCAAGAGGCTGAACATAACATGACCCAGAGAGATGTGAGGATGGAATGGTTACTTTATTTGGGTACAAGTTTGACAAAACTGTGAAAACAAATGAAAATAAGCCATTTGGCTTTAGCACAAGGGAGAGAAAAAAAAAAGTGTTTTAGGTCTTGGCTAGGGCCATAGCCTTGTACTAGATCAAGTAAAAGGTTCTAGGTATATGGAAAAACAGGAACCTATTTTCTGCTACTGATAAATAAGTGCAAGTGGATTGGCTTGTGTCCATAGCAAGCAAACCTCAGCTGGATTTTTTGAATTAGTACAATGATGTGGATGCATGCATTTGAAAACTGCCAAGCATATTGGAGGCAAATTCCTGTACAAGTACCACTAAGCGAATGATTCAACAGCAAACACAGATCAGAAAAGAACAATGTCGGGCTGCCATGTTAAATGCAAACAATTTGATCTGAAGCTGGATCGCATTCTGGCACCACAGAACATGGACTCATTGCTGGAGTATAAAGCATACCAGATCACTGCACCATACCAGATCACTGCACCATACCNCATACCAGATCACTGCACCATACCAGATCACTGCACCATACCTCTGGCACTTACCACTAGCTTTGAAGACTCATTCAATGATGTTGGATTCTCAAAGCTTCACCCTTTCATATCAAATGAAAATTCAGCAATTTAAGCAGCTAACACTAATGCAATTAATCCTGTCTGAAAGCAACACAACTCCAAGGTGGTGAAGGTTCAAATCAAAGTGCCGACAAAGACAGCTATGGAACAATGGTTTATTTCTCAATTCCAATAAAAACCCCACAGTCAAGAGGCACTGGGAAAGGATGCCATGCCAGTAAACTGAAGGACAAAACATCTGGTTTCAAGATCAACCAATACTTCACAACATGTAGCATGTAGACATTGTTTGATGGGACATTTCATCATTTTTAATTGACCTAATCACCTCAAGAACATTTTTTTCCATTTTCATGATTTTTAGAACTTCTAGCAAGGCATGGCATCCATGCAGTGACTCGTGTGCTCGCCACACCCACATTTCCACCGAATCTATTGCCAGATCCTGTAGCCTGAGTGTCAGATCAATCTGTAGTGCTTCAAAGTCTGAAGTAGGCAATATAGCTCCCTGGCTTGACCAACAATTTCTGCAGTGACAGACCAATCAGATATACCCATAAAGAACTAATTCTGTCCCATTTTAGATTTAAACAGTTCCCATAAATCCTATGTACCAGTACATGGTAAATATCTAGAACATTAACACTTAATATTCCATAAAACACAATACTATTCCACAGCATAGGAGATGCCAGAAAGAGCCTGGTTGGGGTGCCCTGTCTTGCTTAGAAAAACACGAACAATTCCTCTCTGCATTTTCAGAGCTCTAATGCATGTGGCTACTTGAAAAGAATGTTTTTCTCTTTTTTTTTGGGGGGGGGGGTGCATATTACATCCTATAACACTGTGCAACAGTCAAGCATATAGGCCGAACCCCTGAAGACAACCCACTACTTGAATATACAGTTGTTCTTGGAGATATTTAAAAAGTAAAATATAAAAAAAACAAGCTAACAAAACTGCCCCCCCTGCAGTTCAAACATTTAGAACGCAAAGCGGAACACAAATTCAAAGCACCATCGAACTACAACCTCCAAGGACCAATCATACAGAACGAAGCACCTGCTGCAGAACCAGAGCTACACAAAGTTGTTTCTTGAATTATAACAGCTGACCAGGATTAAGTAAGTAAAGTGCAGAGTACGTGTTTCTCAAGATCCAAGCTCATCCTTTAGGAATCCATTTCCGTCCTACCATCTAAATACTATGAAAGTCCGGCCCATTGACGTCACAGAACAGAAAAACTAAGAGGCGACGAACATCCTATGCTACTGATCCCTGCGTCTGCCGCCCCAAACTGGACAAAATACTGCAGGTTTACATACAGCTTAATGACAGCGGTCACCTTCTGCAGCAGCCATCAAAACTACGCAGGGGCTTCTAAAAGTTTCCGACGAAGCACATTCCACAAAAGTGTAACGAGGTTGGCACCACGACTTCCCTCTGAGAACCGGAAACCCAGAAGAGCGTTGATGGGAGGCAAATACATTCCGGCCATGTTTGGCCTCTGGACGGCATCTGTGTCGGCTTTTAGAGAGAAGCCTATTGCATCCTTGCGGAGGGCCAAAGCAACCTGGGGCAGCGCCGACAGCTAGCTTGCGCTAACAGCTAGCGTGCGCTAACAGCTAGCGTGCGCTAACAGCTAGCGTGCGCTAACAGCTAGCGTGCGCTAACAGCTAGCGTGCGCTAACAGCTAGCGTGCGCTAACAGCTAGCGTGCGCTAACAGCTAGCGTGCGCTAACAGCTAGCGTGCGCTAACAGCTTGGTATTTCGCAGAAGTAACTGCCAGCATGGCCCATGATCACCCACACAGAGAGTAACTCTGACAAGAACAATCTGCAAGTCACAGCAGGCAATACAAAGGTGGGAGAGCTGACTGTCAGTATGTGTGAAGTACAAAACAAATTAAGGTAAAAAGGTAAAAAGCTTCAACTTGAACCAACAGACTATATACACAATTTTGTTGCTTCTAAAGGTACCATACAGAATATATATATAAAAAATAAAGCTATTTTAGTGATAAGATCTCACAGTATCTGCGGGCTCCTCCATACATACCGTACACCTAACAGAACATTATCAAATACATTTCAGGAGAAAGAGATGCAAAAATACTGAAGTTTCACTGAAATACGGTATTTATGAGATTTTAAACAGCTGAAACATTTTCAAAGACTGCAATACTTTTCATTAAAAAAAAAAACCAAAACCTGCATTTACACTCTGAAGAGAAGCGGTCTACCCCAGTGCTGGTGACAGTTAGACATTAAGTTAGATTCTTCGTTTTCCTTTTTTATTAAAAGAGCTGAAAACTTGTTTTTGGACTTCGAGGAGATGTTTCCTGGGTGCAGTTTCAGGTGCATCATGCAGTCACTTTATCCTCCTTCTAACAGGACAAGAGGGGAAAAAAAACAGCCATCATCAAAATGTTAGGCGCTGCTACGGCTCCCAAAACAACACACACGAAGATGACTGACCCTGAACTCCAGGTCTGAGACTGCCCTCCCGCCACGTCCTCCTCTGAAGCCACCCCTGACGTTGCCGACGTTGCCGACGTTGCCGTCGCCGCCCCCCCGGGGCGGACCGAAGGACCCTCGGCTGGCTCCCCGGCCTCTGTAGCCACGGTAACCAGTGCCGCCCCGGCCCCGGAAGCCGCCGCGGGTGCGACTGTGGCGCAACGGGATCCCGAAGGTCTCAGCATTCATGCGGCGCTCCTCGGCCCAGGTCTGCTTCCGCTCCCTGTCGGCGCTCACCGTCAGTGGGATGCGCATGCATGAGCACGAGCCCGAGAAACCTAAGGCCGTATCTCAGAAGTACCCAGCATCGAGCTAGTATGCAGCAAGCCGGCATGACATACCTGGGAAACACTGATCCGCCAGACTTTTCAGCTGCTTTCCTGAAGGGGGGGAAACGCAACAAGAAAATGATATAAAAATTCCTCTTTTTTCCCAGCAAACCTACTGCTGCATGCACAGTCTAAAGCAGGCAACCTTTCCAACGAGGAGGCCAGGCTGTCAGTGGGCTACCACGGGGAGGGGGAGGGGCCCCCTTGCTTAATTTTGGGTTCCAGCAGCGGCTCATTACAGACCAAACGGCGACTGCCTAATGTAGATCCACGGCCCACTAGAGCCTGCTTCCGGTTGAGAAAACCTGATATAAAGCCTCCATAATACACCATCAAACCTGAGTAGGCTCTTCTATACAGAGCAATGCTTTTTTTTTTTTTTTTTTGGAGAAATCAAAAGGGAGACAACTCCCCCATTTGCTCCAGGTACCAAAGACCTTGCTTGGGGGTCCAACAGTAAAATCACTCTGCCAACACCAGGATTTGAACCAGCGACCATCTGATAACAGCATCTTAACACTCTGTGCCACATAACGCACCCAAAAGTTTCAAACCTCACTACAAAATATGCTAACCCAACTTAAAACAGAATATCCAAGATGTTAGTACTGAACCACCCAGATGCCCAGCCCACAAACTGCTCGCCAGTTTCTCATCAGCGCGGCCCCTACCTGCTGTCGTCACACGAGATGTTGTCGAAGAAGCTCTTCGACTTGTCGTAATAGCAGTTGGGCCCCAGGGGGTCGTCCTCGCCAGCGTTCTCCTCGCTGTTCTGTGTGTCCACCCCCGAGTCGCCCTTATCCTCGCCATTCAGTGCCTTCTCAGGGCGCTCGTCTGCACAGGTCAGAGCGGCAGGAACAAGACGGCATCAGGGCATGTGAACATGAAGCAGAGGCTGCAAGCCTAACCCCCCCCCCAGAGGACCGTACCCCAAAGTCATGGCAACAATCAACGTTATCGGTACCGAAAAGCATTTGAGAAGGTGTGTTAGACACTGAGACTCAACCCTATTGCCTGCAGAAACGGGAGAATCACACTAGCAGCAAATACGCAACACAGCCTGCCAGGTTAAATATATCCATAATCACAGTAGTGGGGGAAATAAAACCAACTACAAGCAGTGAAGCTGTATCGCCACAATTAACAGCGTATTACTGCAAAAGCCATACAAGGCACCTGCACCAAACAAGGCAGGCATTTGCCGGAATGCAAGCTGGCCCACTGTGTCAGACCTCGGTCGTGTGTCCGGTTAATGCGGCAGCGGCCGGCGACGGGCGAACCTTTCAGCTTCAGCTTGCTGTGAAACTCCCTGTCGATCTCCTCCTTGTTGAACTGGGCGTTGGCGCTCTCGAAATCGAAGTCCTTCTCGAACTTGACGGGGCCGTCCCTGCGCACGGTGAAACGGCCCCTGCCGCGATGGCCGCCTCCCCCACCGCCCCCCCCGCCGCCGCGGCCACGCCGGGGCTGGGACGCACCTGTGGGACAGCATCACCGTCAAATACACCATCGACCGCACAACATGGGAAGTTACCTTGGGTTCCCCTGCTAGGGTTGCTACTTTCCATCTGGGGGGGGGAATCAGGTCCCTACAGCACAATGATCCCAGAGTGCATAATTATTTTAATTTTCCATATTCAGGGCCCTTATAACATGCCCCCCTAGCCCCAAATCAGCCAAAGTGCCCATAATGCTTATTTTCGATAAATTAAAATCAGCAGGACTTTATTCATGCACTCTCCCTACACTGTCAAATCTTTTTCATTAACTATGTTTGTTTAGGCTTGTTTTTATTGACTATTAAAACGAGATTCTAACATATTCCATTTTTAATGTGTCCCCATGTCTCAGCAAAACGCTCTGCATTGCCATGCGTTTCAGGTGTGCTAGAGAAATAAACTTGCTTTGCCCCTCCTGTGCCCGCGATGAGACCGCACAGTCACAGTCACATGGGGGAGGACGCCACACCTCGCAGGGTTCGGGAAAGGGACCGTAACCCTGGAGACTTTCCCGAAGCACAGCTTGTGACATTGTCCTACCTGCTTGCTTTTTACTGCCGTCCCTATTTTCACCGCGCCCCGGTTCATGGTCAGGCCGCTGTGGTTTCTGCACATCAGCACCTACAAAATAACATACTTTAATAAAAAAAGAGCCAAGTGCCCACACACCTTAATCCTTTTCTATGTCTCTTTTCTAATATCACAGAAGTAGAAATATGATGGGTGTTTGGGATTACACTCGAAAACTCCATCAAGGGTGGCTAACACCAACACAGACTGCCCCTCCAACATCATGCTGTGGTTCACCAGCAGGGGGCGCCAAAAGTCAGTCTCACCCCTCCGCAGCTCATGGACTTCCATGGGCTTCTGGCCACTGGCGTTGGAGGGCCAAGCCGGACTCCTCCGGCTGAGGGGTGCAGGGGCAGCGTGGGCAGCGTGGGCAGCGTGGGCAGGGGCGGATGCGGAGGCTGCCGGGACCGCCTGCTCCAGGGCGGGACTCTTTCGCAGTGGGTCCATCTGCGGACTAGAGCGACCTGACGACAAGAAAACACGTGGTTATAGAGATACTGGAGACACGTCGAGGTGCGGCAGCGTCAAGCGGAACCGAAGGGTGCCCAGAACCCCCCCCAAGAACCAGGACCCATGCTTTTGGTACGTCAGTAAAGTACCACAAGGTGTTCTCATGACACCACAACGCGAGGCCAGGGGTTGCCTCACCCTGATTCCTCAACGCAAGTATTTTATACTTAATTCGAAAAACGGCTGTAGCATAAAGGGCTGGACGATGTGCGATATTAATACCAACATTGCATTTTACGCAAATGCAATTCTCACATCGCAAGGACCACAACAGCTGTGTTGAGATCAGGCTGAAAATACTGTCTGAAAATCATTACATGTCGGGGGTGGGGGGTTAAGTTCTGCTAAAACCTTTTTATTGTGTCATATGAAATGAAAATTAGCAAGCTTGGCAATTTTAATAATTATTCCTTTTCAATATAATTAAAAATCAGTATAAAATTTACCTCTGCCACTTTTGCATGAACGCTGCATGCGTTCTTTAAACCAATCATAATCATTTTCATCCAAGCCATTTAAAATCAGTCCTGAATGGGTTGTTGAGAAATTTTGAACTCGTTTTTTGCTATACAAATATACCAATATTTATTGCAACAAAATCACATTTCGATACCTGAAAATTTTCCAATATCGCCAGCCCTAGTATTTCAAAGAAAAAGCTCTTATTTCTCATCATGCCATCCACGTCTTGTTGAATCTGTTACTCTGATCAATTGCTTGGATCTCTTCAATTGTCTACACATCCATTAGTATTACTTTTTTTTTTTAAATGATCATTTTCTGAGATCGTAACTATGCACTTTCAGCATGCTGGATGCATTTCATGTTGGTGAAGCAGGTTATTTGCATAACCAAATCGACAATAAACACACTTGCAAGTCCCGCCCCAAAGCACCAAAATAGGACCACAGCCAGTTTGGTGCGATTTGGTACCAAGATTCAGCGCTTTCTCTTTTCCATTGATTTCCGGTCAGGTTCCAGTACCAAAGTACAGCACCTGGCGGTGGAAAAGCGCCAATAGGTGCCCAGACACTGCTGTGTGTCACTGCTCGTTGTCTTCAGAGGCAAAGTCATCAAGTCCCGCATAAACACATCTTAAAAACCTCCACTACTCCAGCAATGGCTAAACATCGCAAATGTGATTAGGTGTAAAGTATGTGTGGCAAACTCCTCCCAGCCCTTAAACGCACGTCTCAAGCACAAGGGCATGTTTTATTTAATATCAGTTACACTTTATTAGAGTATAACTGTTCTGGCTCCCTCTTTAGCGGCACGGTGCCTGGGGAGCTGACGAACCAATTCCGCACGTTTATGGTCCTGGAAGTCAGCCACTACTCTGTCAGTCTCGACAGAGCATCTAGCTCGCAAGCTCGTTACCTTCTGTCAGGCGTGCGGACTGCAAGCGCAACTCTGGGGGGAAAGCAGACGCCAAGCCGCTGCTCTGGGGCAATGGGGGGGCGGTGGCACCGCTTGCGTCACTGCCAAAGGAGGGCGCTGTACTTCCTGTACACACAAGGGGACGCAAAAGGCTAAAGTGACAATTGTGAACCTCACACAGAAAACATCACTCATATATACATGAGTCATATCTACATGAGAGAAAGGTGCCCTTTCCTGCCATAAGAACCTAGTGTCAAAATCTTTAACCACAATGTCATGGGTTTGAATCCCATGGTTGGCAAAGTAAACGTATCACTGCTTGAGGAAGGCCCTTAATCTCAGCTGCTCCAACGGCGCGGGATGCTGGCTGGCCCTGTTCTCGGACCCCAAGCTATCCATACTTGAAAGTTATTTGTACAAATAACCCTAATTTAGTGTCTACGAACCATCAACCATAAGGTGAATAAAAAGAGCCCAAAGCAGGAAACCTACCGATGTTCCCAAACTGCTGGTTTACCAGGGGGTTAGAGTTGAACTGGCTGTAGGGGGCAGCAGGGGGCTGGGCACATGACCTGTAGGAGGCCATGGGTTGAAATGATGTAGCAGAAGGGGTGGATCCCAGGGATGACTAGAAAATAAAAATGGACAAACACAAGGTGCTTCTCAATAAGCGTACTTGACCATACTTGTTCCTGTGTACCCGTTTTATGTCATCTTCCATATACCAATACTCAAGAACACAAGCATAAAAGACAGTAAAAATCCCTGGATGTCGTTCCTGCCCCACCCCAAATATCAAGGGTACATCGGTTGCATCCTCGCCAAACGAGACCAATCCCATGATTCATTGCGCCCCAAGTTCATTCTTGGGAGGCAAGTTGGCAAGACTGGTCTTGCCAAGACCACGAGTACGATGTTTGTGTTCTTGGTACAGTGTCCACTTAGCAAACACTTAAGGAGCCGTTAGAGAATGAGACACCATTTATAAGGTTCACACACTGTACTGTCAGTAATGCTGGCTAATCACAACCCTCTTCGTCACATTGGAGGCTGCATACCTGGACGATGGCTGGGTCCTGGGGGAGCGAGCAGGTGGGCTTTGGCGGCTCACAGACCGTAAGGTCTTTGATATCACTGCCACGGAAGATGATGTACTCGAAAACCTCATCTCTGGGTAGGATGGGCCTATCAGTAGGTCGGTCCTCGGTACCAAAGGAGCGCACTGGAGGGGGGGAAGAAGACATTTAACCAGCATTGATCAGGAGTCACCTGCTAAAACTGTAAAACTGATCATAATCCAGTTAGCATGAAAGTATAGTCAAGAATGCATAACAAAAATGCAGACACACTCGGCTTCAAGTTCAGTCTCTTAGACCCCAGTTTCTACAAAAGCTGCTTTCACACTGTCGTCTAGGGCCCTATGAAATCTTATTTTTTCCCCTCAAATTCCATTACATACATTTTATCAGATTTATTTTGATCCGTTTCAGATGTTAAGGTTTTATACAGTGCCGAACCAAAAAAAAAAAAAACAGTTAAGAAAAGTCTTATGAGAAGTGTTGTAGTTTTCAGGTTATGACACTATGTACTCCAATCTTATTGCCTAAATCCACTTTTGCCTGCTTAAAGGCTCATTTTTCGGATCAGCAATTTTCAAAAACTTAGCCCTGGTTCTGGGATATTAGGGTCGATTGTGGGTGGGTGTATCAATTTAAGCATATAAAGTGGGTTGGGCATCATTTTGTCTTTATTAATATTAGCAGCTTGAATCGCAGTCCGGTTGAATAAAACCATCAGGGTTTGGGCCTCTCGTGAATGGATCTGTGCATCACTGGTTCCTACATGGCGACGGAGATGCTGAAGGCTATAAGGGCCTTTGGCGTCTCCAAGCAGCTATTCCTGCAAATGTTAGAGCCCCCAGAGAAGTGCGCAGAGTTCCTGCAGTGCAGACAGGCCACATGGTAGTACCATCCTCGCACTCATTTGGCCAGATCTGAGTCCTTCCTATTAGAAAACCTACAGCTGTGCCTACTGCAAAGGTATTTCAAACTATCTGGACAAATTGCAAAATGCAAAAAAAAAAAAAACCATAGGCTTAAAAAGTCAACACAATATCATAAGAACATAAGAAATTTACAAACGAGAGGAGACCATTCGGCCCATCAGCATATTCCGCGCAATTCCACGTTTGAGTGAATACCATTTTTCATGTCTCGATTCAGTCTGCATTTTCCACATCATTGAAATCACAAGGCCCTAGTTTGCAAAATAAGGAAATACAAATACAACAACCATACTTAATTCACATGAAAGATCACTCAGAATATTCCATTAGAATAAAACTGGTCAGGGATGACATTCATAATACAACATCTGTATTCAGTGATTTATGCAGCTGTTATCAAACAGAGCATCACACCATTCTATGATGTCTGAATTTGACATGCCTGTCCTATCTTTAAAACATCAGGAAAACGAACAGTAGATTGTGCGTGCAAGTGACTTTTGACAACCCAAAAACCGTACATGTTCAGTTATCTTTTTTTTTTAAAAGATGGTGAAATTAACAACAATGATTTCATAGGGTCAACTGCATATTTTTGAATTGTGTGCACTTGCTATATTTAAAATTTGGTTATCAGTGGTCATTGTTGAAACACCACAGCACACAACAATGAAATGTGTCCTCTGCATTTAAACCATATGTGACGATGTGACATAGCAGGGGGCAGCTAATTCAGCGCCCGGGGAGCAGTGCTTGGGGGCGGTACCTTGCTCAGGGTACCTCAGAGGTGCCTTGCTGGTCGGGTATTCGAACCAGCAATCTTTCAATTACAAGTGCACTTCCCCAACCATTAAAACACCATTGCCCAAATAAAATGTCCATAAAAAAATACTACAACCTGAAATTAAGTTTTGCAAATAATAAAACAGGCAGTCCGCTTTGTCATTTAGCCTCCAGACCACAGTGGGGTGCCACTCGACAGATACAACCTCCATTGCGACTAAACAATAAACTGATTAGAACCATGTTTACAGCAAGAGTGTACACTCAGATTAAAAGAGGCGGAGCATCAGAGCAAATTTACCATTGACCTCCAATGTAAACAATAACAAAAATGCCTTGTTGATGTCAGAAGATGAATCTCTTCAGAAAACAAAATGGAAGTCAGTAACTGAATTTCAGGGGACACCAAGGAAATCTTGTAATGTTCACAAAACACACCTTACATTTGGTCTCTCACTTGCACATCACTTTCATCACATCACCTGTCAATGAGATTTTATTCTATGAATGCATATAATACAGAAAATGTAAAATCTAACAATTTAATTATGGAGTTAATTTCAACTGTAGTATCTAAACCCAGCAAGCCAGTGAATACAGAGTTATATATTATTGAGTTAAATTTCCTCCCTAACTTATGAACTTGTCCTCGACAAAAAAAAATAAAATAAAAAAAAATGACGTGGACCATGTGGAAACACACTCGCCTGTACAAGAAATAAATCAGCAGGAAGCTGTAAAAAGAAAGAGTGTCTGGCTGCACTATCCATTTATCTCAGGAAGACATCAAGGAACCACGCAAGAGCAAGAGGGAAAACCCAATGACTTTCAATGCATAACCAGTAATTCTGTAATTTAGGACACGAGGCCTATACACACAGGTCCCAGGTAGTGCACTAATGAGCGATGCTCTACTCTTAAAAACACTTGACTGCTGTATAAATGCAGAAAATCATTATGGGGGGAAAAAAATCACTTCAGTTAACAATGGGGGAAATGATTAAACGGTCTTCATCAAAAAGTTTAGATGGATGATTAAAGTAAATAAACGCCAGTGTGATTTCATAATTTTCCCTACAGCAAACACACAAATTAACAACAGACGAAGAGAAAAAGAGAAAACACACACACACACACACACACCGTTCTGACAAAGAAAATTTAGATATTAAGAAGTAAAAGACTAAGTTCAGTATCAGAAGACTGTCCTGCTGCAATACCTTAAGGACAATGTTTATTCTGCTATTCAGCTGTATCCGTGCCACTAAAAAAAGTGTCAAGAAATTTCTAAAAGCCCGTGACCTGGCTGGATTCGAAGGCGCATTTATAGCCTCTCACCAACATCATCTAAAGCACGTAATCTAAGCGAAGGATAACCTGTCTTCCAAAGTAAAAAAAAAAAGACATTTTCATACAATCTCACTGCCACACTAGTTTCGTCAACGTGATATTTCACCATTCGACCTTAGTATACAAATACACCAAGCAGTTAGACCTAGCCAAGTTGTAACGTACAATGGAATATCTACATACAATGCTGAACTAGTTCGTGCAATTTAACGTATACTGCATGTTAGTGTTGCGTATCAATCTTTATGTCGGCCGACAGGCCTGTATATTTCACCAGATGTCACTGAACCATGTATAATCGCTTAAGCTAGCTGAACAAAAGATAACCAGCTTTGCCAAAAACATCAAATATAATTACGATGTTAAAATAACTGCATAACTTCATGATTTAGCTTGCTTCCTTGCCATTCGGGATAAATATTTAGTTAGACAGCTGTATCTGCCTTAACAGCGCGTTATAACCGGACAATAAGTTAAAACTGCCAAACGAAGGCAGCGCTGGGACCAGGTTAAGCAGAAGTGAAAACCCCGCAGAATGCTACTTTATACCCTCGGATCCTTTACATCACACATCCGCAGGTAAACAGCATCTTCACCTTTTGCGAGGGCGACAGTGGAGTTCTCGGTGTCGATGGTGTATAATATCCCTTCGTAACGAATCTCCGCCTTGGAGATCAGACTGATCTTACTGCCGATGTAAGGGGTCCCCCCGCTCATGGCGCCTCTCGTAGGGTCCGGACTCCTGGGATGGCCGATTATCTAAAGCTCCTTGTACTCTTTTCTTTGAGCTGCCTTAAGCTGCTTTCGCTCTCCCTTGCCGCGTTTCTACCCCCTTTCTTTCGCCGTGTACCGTTAACACAATATGGCCGCCTTCATTTTGCCTGCTCGGGCTGCGGTGGCTGATGGGAAGCGTGTCCCCGATTGAAAAAGGGGGTCTCGCGCTTTTTCACGGCCACGTTCTATTACCTTCCTCTAAAGACCGCTGAATTTAGGATGCATAGAGAAATTTAAACTTAAAAACCAGAAACGTACATCAACACGTACTTATTAAGAACGTGACAGTTAAATGGCTAAATTAAATAAATACCGAGTTTTCGGTAGCATTACAGTTTATTACGTATATTACTACTTAATCACGTTTAAATGCTAGAAATATCAATATTTCTTGGAATTTGTAAATGATGAGTATGCATTATAAATGCAACTCAAACAATGCACGATTTATAAGTAGGCTTGATTGACTGTGGCAATGATGTATATTAAAGCACAACAGGGCACGTCGTGTCTGTAAAATTTCAACATTACTGTAATTTAATTCTGAGGATTTTTTTTTCTTAAACACCCACCATTTCTTAAGTCCGTTTCCAACAACCCCAATCCTCGTAGATATCAAGCAGTGACAGAGAATGAATTTTGGCGCTCTGACGTCAGGCCCACTCCCACAATGCCCAGCAACACGCATGCGCGTTGTGTACACGAAAATTTGGACAGCGATCTCAGAGCAAAGATGGCGGGCACCTCCGACCCTCTGGAAGATATGCTCTTCTCCGAGGTGGACGAAAAAGCTGTAAGTGACTTAGTTGGCTCGCTGGAGTCGCAGCTTGTCGGCCAAAGCAATCCAGCAGCCCCCCAAGCCGAAACCAGGAGTGCTGTGTCTACAGGCGCTGCCAATCACCACTTAGGAAGAATGCTACCTGCCCAAGTGGGCACTATACTGGAACAGCAACAACAACAAGGACAACATAAAGCTGCGCTAAATCAGGAGCCCAACTCTAAAGAAATCAGCTCCGAAAAAACTGTGATGCCGTCTTCGCTCAGTTCCATTGCACCTTTCGAGGAAGCTCCCATCACTTCTGGGACCGGAGTAAATGCGAGTAGCGGCTTGCAATCACATGGAGCATCTAGTAACACAGCACTCTCTGCATCTGGACTGGTAACTTTGCCATCTCCGCTGGTCAGCGTAAACGCCGCTAATAGGGGTTCTGTTCTGGGGTCGGGTGGGTCAGCGGCGGTCACGACGGAGACTGATTCTGCAAAAAACCACATCGCGTCCACCATACGGACTGCCCCCGCGGGAATACAGAGTTTAAACGGGAGCGACGGAGCGGCGGCGTTAGTTAGCTCTCCCACGAATACCGCTAGTCCTGCTGCTGTTGCGGGTTTCCAGCCCGGATCTGTAACCGTGTCTTTGGTTAATAACGTAAACACTGTCGTTAGCAGCAGCGGTAGCGCCGTTAACTCGAGCCAGACTCTGTCGCCTTGCGTCAATTCGACCACTTTTAGTGTGTCTCAGCCTGATTTCCCAGCATCACAGACCGCGGTTACTCCGGATGGCACTGGAGGCACCCCTACTATAGCCCTGCAAAGACTCCCGAGTCACATCATGGCCAATATTTCACAGAATGGAAATGGCACTACAGCCCCGGCGCTTGGGCAGCAGGGTGCACGCACGGGTCCCCCTGCAACTACGGGAATTCCGCTAGTAAACCACATTAAGAGCACGGATCCGAGTAATCCCATGTCCGACTCCCCCGTACAGGCAAAAATAACTGCATCAAACCAGCCTGGCGTCGTCAATTCAGCACCCAGCCCCATCACCTCTACTGTAACAGTTCCTAACCCTACAACCACGCAGCTTCAAAGTTCCGCTGTTAGTTCGGTGCCCGCATCCAGCAGCCCTGTAACTCTCACCGCCTTGGCGAAACCCACTGTCAACATAGTAGGACAACCGGCGTCGACCACCGTGGGAATGATCAGATCCGGCAACCCCACGTCGCCGGCAATCATAGCGTCGCCGGCGCAGCCACAGCAGCTCCGAGCAGGACTGGGTGCGACGCAGAGGATCGTGTCACCGCAGCTGATCGTCAGGTCTCCTCAGCCGCAGACCACCATCCAGCTGCCTCCCGGTTTCACCATCCCGCAGGGTAGGAGCGCAGGAAAAAGTTTCACTCGCGCGTCGCCTTTGACATATTTCTAGTGGGGAGCAGAGATTTCTAACCGTTGTCACGACATCTCTTGTTTTTACTTGTAACTTGTGGCTGTTTATGCCTTTCAGTGCATTCTGTTCTTAACTGTGATTTCTAGCTAATTTCCAAGAAGAATGCATCCCGTCAAACCTGATTGCCTTACTTAAACAATGACAAAGCGACATGATGTTTTGCAAATTTTCTGTAACACCACTTCCTTAAAATAATCAATTCTGTACTTTAATTAAGCTTACCATGTCACGTGTGGGACTCCATTAGGGAAACGAGATGAGCAAATTGGGGGGGGGGACGTTTGCGTTTTGACGGTCACCTGCGTGATGGCACTTTGCATCTAGCGCACGTCTGTATGTGAGCCGTGGCTTCGCAGAGCATAAAGCCATGTTTCGCCCTCACTGACAGGTGAATCCTTGCATTCCTGCGCGCCCACGTGGGTGCTTGTTATAAATAATTCTGACTGCCAGCAAAGACAACCTGCAGCCGTCAGTTAACTACAAAGTGCATATTTCGTAATATTAAAATGCTTTGTGCACTTTACCGGAGCTGATATTACATTACACTGAATTCTATAAACGCCGCACGGGTCACATGATATGTCTCGTTGAGTGGGATTTAGCCGCGTCCCATGTTGTCAGGTGTTTTCAGCTGCCGACTGGGAAATAATGCCAAGGCCTAGTGTGGCATCACCTCTCTTTTTCCCCTTTTAAGTCATCCTCTCTTTCAGTCCCAAGGATATCTTTACAAGGAGTGGGCTGAGATTCAGCTTTTGGGGGCCTGTTTTTATCTAACTGAGGTTGCTGTGCATGTTCGTTATTATGGACGTAGGAAGGCAGAATTTCAGCCCGGACTGAACGCTCTGGGATTCGATCATTTCACCAGTCAGAGTATAAAATGTTTGGCAGCGAATGTATTGTTTCCAGATTTTTTTTGTTCTGGGGCTGTACTCTTGTCACATTGTTGCTCTTTTAACAGTTGACACATGGACTTAGTTTGGAGATTTATCTGGCATTTTTCTGACCCGGTATCAGCAGGCAGTGCAGCTATTCAGGATACAGTATTGCAGACACATATTTAGGGTTCTCAGGAGCCCTGGAGTGTTTGACGTCCAGTTGCTTCAAAAACACTCAGCTGTGTAAATGTGTATTTCCCCTTATATGAATCTTCTGCTAAATTATGACATAGGTCTAGTAAATTATGGGCTCCCGGTATTGTAAGTTGTACATCAGTTAGGCCTATAGTGCGTTTTGCCCTGAACTAAAGAGATGTTCAGCTCGTGTACGTTTTTGGTTTTAAAAAGAAATCACGCCAGAGCACACTTATGGCAAACTTGGGAATATGGCGACCTTGGCTGGTGTGGACATCGAAACTGGAGATACGCTGCCTTGAATCTTTTGAGTCGGAGGTGAGAGGCGTCGCTGCTGCTTGGCCGGGTGCCCATGTGCGCGACCCGCCGCATTTCGGAAGACACTCGGCGATCCTGCTTATTTATTGAACAGGTGGACGTGCCGTCGCTCGCTTGACACCCGATCCCAATGTTCTGCGTGAAATATTTAGGGAGTCGATTTGGACGGAGCTGGGCGGCAGAGTGTGGCCGTTCAGGCGGCCGCACGTTTCTTCTCGCCTGCGCGCAAATGGCTTTGCACCGGTCCCCTGTCCCCATGGCCCTGTTCCCTTTGGCTGCAGCCATCAGTGCTCCTTCGCCTGATTGGTCACACGGCTCATTCATGATTGTTTGAGATTTCATGTATCGTGTCTGTGCTTAACAACTTAAAACTTAAGTGTTAAGTAGCTGGATATTTTATTGTGGAAATACAGGTTGATTAGCTGTGTGTGCATAAGTGTTGGGGGGGGGTTGAGTGTTAATCAGTTGTTCTGTGCTAACATTTATATCTGAAGTCTTTTGATTATCCTTGTTCTCTCCCAGAGCATGCAGGAGTAAGCAGGGAAATAATCATCTAAAGTTACCGAAAGTTATTGAGAATTAAGCAGTTCTCTCCTTGGGGAGCTGCCTGGTGTGTTTTATTGCATACTGTACCCTGAATCATCCTTTTCCCATCTTCCCAATCTTTAATTTTTATCTTTGTGCTTTGATAACTGCATGCTTTTATTTTAATTTTTCATTGATGCCTTTTTTTTTCCTGAAGTGAATTACTTTTACCTGTTTATACAGCTGTGCGTTTCGTGGTAGAATTCTCCATTATGTATCTTGACAACAGCAGCAGACAACAGGCAAGCTTTGGGTTACACCATCTGAACCACTATACTCAGTAAGGCTGTCCTTTCACAGAGTGGTGACTGCTCGAGGTTATGCTTGCATCATTCAGGTTCACCAACTCCTGTAGCTGAGTTCTGTAATGGCAAAAAGGAGCGCGGTTCTGAATGGGTTAACAGGGAGATGTGCCGCACACCTGTCCCCGACAGATGTGGATGTGTGTCGTTTCCTTGCTGCACACGCAGGCCGTCGATGTGACGGTAAGATAAGGCGCCGACTCGACCCCGTTTTCTGCATCGGGGCTGCCGGCTCGTTATTGACGTGGGAAGTGGGGAATCGATCATCTTCGTTTTCATACGGTCCTTCCCAGCGATCCATCCAAAGTGCTCCGTGAAGATTTAGGAACAGCTGTGCAAGTAGATCCTAAGCAAAACCAGTGAATTAACTGCAGACATTAATGTCATATAATATTAAAAGCCAGAAGATTAAGGAAAGCATTATCTCTTTAACCAGGGGAGAAACATATTTACCGTTTTACTACCTTAGTGATGTTATGACCGATATCATGACCCTGAGCTGTGCTATGCTGTTTCCCTTCCTGTTGTGAGGTGTGTGTGTGATTTATTGTGTTTTATGGGATGATGTGAGTTTTTACACTGTGTGTGTATCCAGTTTCTCGTTTTTTCCGTGGTGTGTGACATCAGGGGTCCAGTTGTGACTGCGTGGCTGTGTCTTGTGCTTTCAGGCATGGTGCTGGTGCGTACTGAGATGGGGCAGCTGGTGATGGTTCCACAGCAGGCTCTGGCTCAGGCCCAGGCCCAGGCCCAGGCTCAGGCCCAGGCTCAAGCCCAGGCCCAGGCCCAGGGTCAGGCCCACAGCAACATCTCCCCTCGACCTGCCACACCCACCACCGGGACCACCTTCAGAGTGACCACCACCCAGGTATGGCCTCACCCACTCCCTGTCTGCGGCTCTGGAACCCCTTGCCACCCCGTGGCCTTGGGCTTACGGATGTCCTCCTGCACTAGCTGGACCATGTGAGGTGTCTAGTCTTTCTTTAGGTTCCACACAGGTTAGAAAAGCGCTTCCTTTTCTACCGACTGATTCTTCCTAAAATACTGTCATGTAGTTACAGGGTGTCTTGCATTTACGGCGACTAAAACGTTAAAAGTTTAACGTGAATTAAATTCAGTTCTGATTTCTGTCTCCTAAACGGTGACCCAGGAGGCCACATAAAATGCAGAAACATATTAAAAATAGATAGATTTAAAAATAAAGTTTAACTGCGGTGGTACGTGAGGGTTGAGTTTCTCATGAAGGTCCGGGCAAATGGGGCTGGGGGCAGAGCATGGATTTGATGGAAGGTGTCCGCTCAGGCAAGTGGGGAAAGGGTGTGAGTGCAGTCGGATTACACGCTTGAGGGTGCGTAGGATCCCGCTTGTCCCGCCAAAATGCAGTCAACCCCCCTCACAGTGGTGTGGGTGTCAGGTGACTGACCTGGCATTGGCCTGTTGTGAGGTTCAGCAATGACACAGGAGTGAGCGGATTTCTGTTCTGACCTGCTGGAAGGGAGGAAGGGGGACCCAACAGGCAGCCATCGCGCTGTGGAGGCACTGGGGTGGGGGTCTCTATGAGAAGTGAGGTCACCTTTGAACGGCTGTTGCCTCAGATCAGGCCCTCTAATGGGAAACCCCTCCGGGGTCGCCCAGGTGCATCATGGGAGTCTTGTGGGGCGTGGTGGTCTGTCACCTAGCTGGCCGTCCAGAGGAGCGCTGTCTGGACCTGCTGTGTATGACACACTGCCTGTGCACTGCATAGGAGGAGCAGAAAAAGTGGACAAGAGTAGTTGATCTGCCTTCCCCCCACTTACTAGAAAATGTTAATCACCTATACTGAGGTCTGGTTAGACATGGTCCATCCATCCACATCGGGCCTGGAAAGGATCACGTTCTGGAGACTGCCATGCTTAGATAAATTTGTATTTAATTGCTGCTGAGCCCAGTATTATTGTGCAGTATTTAATAACTTAAGCTGCTGATACCTGCAGAACACAGTGTTTGGATGATGCTTGACAGTTTAAGAAAAAGCCTTTTTGTAGTAACGGGCCGGTGGATGTGTCTGGTCTGTTGTTCAGAAGCCACTTTCCTTCAGTGCTTACATTCGATCCCCAGTGTGTCACTGACCGTTGACCTGGAGCTCTTCCATACTTAAGGCTTTGGCTTTTGTAGACCACGGTACTTCACGTGGCCCCTGAGATGGCAGAGTGGCAGCGGAGTGAGATTATAAGTTGGACCCGGTGCGGTGAATGTGTTTCATATCGGTCATCTTAAACAAATTGCTGCATTCAGACTCTGTTGATAATATGTTAAAATGAATGTAGAAATGATTAAAGGAGCGTACTCACCTTGGGATCGTGCTACAGTTCAAGGTTATGGGGAATTCGAGAGAACCTCGGGTTCAAGGCAGCGGATAGTTTGGACAGGAACCAAACCCATTACGGGGCACACACAGTTTAAAGGTGCCCATTTGCCTACCCACATATTTTTACATTGTGGGAGGAAAACCAATTAGTTGTAGGAAAAAACAAACACCACAAAGAGAGTTAGATGGTTAGATGGTTAGATTCCACACGCAGGGCTGTGTAGGGACTTGAACCATAACCCTAGCGGTGTGTTGCAACTGTGCTACCTTACAGCCTTGCTCCAGGATCGGCTAACTAAAGCCAGGCGTGACTCATCAGCAACCAGTTGAGTACTCCGTGACTGTGACTCTATGCTCAACTGGTTGGTTGAAACAAAATCCTGGTCTGGATTTGTACTCTCTGGATCTTAAATCTCCACCTCTGCTCATCAGTTAAGATTCCCTTTGTTTGTCTTTTGTTGAATGAGCACGGTGAGAGTTGCTCTACCTTGCACTCTGACATAAGGCTTTATGATGCAGCTAAATGAAGATTCACAGTGCACAGTTATCGCCTTAGAGCCATATAGTGGTAACATGTTCATACTGAATACTAGAACCTAGGTCTCTAGGGCAGGTGTACTGGCTTCCTCGTGTCTCCAGTAGTGGGTCAACTGATATATTGATAAGAATAGGCTGCAGGTGTGTCACCACTGATTATGTGTCCTTAAACACTTCTGAGGTGACGTGGAGCTCTCTCACTGGAGAAGAGCTGAGAATCTATGCCTCCAGTAACTTACCAATCTAACCTGGGATTATTAGTAAGTGTTTTGAGCTGTAGGGTTGAGCTGTGTCAGAATGTGTGTGTGTGTGGTTGTATATGGTATAGGAAGCCTCATCTGCTATGAGTTTTCATAGAGGTTAGACTTGTGGTGTGAGAGCGCCTGATTTTCACCAAAACTAGAAATGAAATCCCGCATTTACCGAAATATACAAACTGTCCACCTACACGAACAAAAGGAAAATGGGGGAGGCTTCATTGTAAGATCCGAAAATGGAGACGAAATGAACACAGCAGTGAAAACCAAGTGTACAATTACGAACTACCAAAATCCAGAATGGACTCTGCAAACTCAGAATCCTTAATCAAACACGAAGACCTATGTAACATGAAAGAGTTGTTGTTGGTTGGCTTGGAATGCAAATATGGTGTTATGCCACACGAAATCCTTAGGGCTCGCCAGATTTTCATGACATGACAGGAGAAGGTGTTCTGAGGTCTTTGGAAACGGGCCGTGGGCTTCTGCCCTCATCCCAGGTCCCATCTTTCCTGAGTGGGCCCGGTCCACCAGTCATTTTCATCTGTTGTTCTGAGCAGCACCTAATCCACCAGATCGGTTTGGAGAACCCGGTGCTTCAGAGGTGCATTTCAGAAGGTAAATCTTCAGCCCAAGATTTTGTTTCAGCCAATCACTTGTGTATGAAGAGGCACAGTCAGAGTACTCCGGTGGTTGGTTGAAACAAAATCTTCTGGATTTTTACTTTTTGGACTTGAACTATCCAACTCTGGTTACCGTCATTTAAAAGGCTTCTTTACAAACATAATCTTTGTTTCATTTTAGCACTGAACATCTGAGGTGGTCTTTGCCTGCAAGTCTTCCAAAATTAAAGCCTGACCTAATGGTATTGGCAGGCTATATATATTTTTTATTTCTCTATCAAATTATTGTTTTTAGGCTTCTCTGCTGGTGAGCATTTTTGCGGCCGCAGGGAGCCACAAGGGGGCGGCACTTCCCACCTTTTCTGCCCATGCCAGACCACTTGTCAATGTTCTGTTACCCATGACAGTGTGATGCTGACAACCCAGATGTGTGCTGCTTTGGCACTTAGGATTTCCCCTGCTGTTCTCCTCTGAGTCCGTCAAGCTCCCGTCAGTCTGTACATTCATCTGAGTCTCAAAGTTAACTTGCATTCTGGTAAAATTGGTTTAAATTACCACAGATAGATAAACGTAGCTTTGGAGCCACGTTGTATGTAGATACAGGCTAATAATAAGAAATTTAAACACGATTCGGTGTCCTGTCATTAACGCTCCAGTAAGCAGAGGCGCTGGCTCTGCTCTGTAGGTTTAATCTTCTTTTAAAGGACAGGCTGCTCTGTTGAAGGCTTTAGCTTCTGATACCAAATCCACATCCAAACACTTCCTGAAACGTGCACTTTAAGATGCTGCGGATGCTGTGGCGTTATGTGCTGCTTTCGATCCCTAGCAGGATGTCTCAAGATTATTTTAGTCTTCTATAGAAATTCATGCCCCCCCCCACCCTTACTGAACTGAATGTAAATTGCAGATGCTGGTACTCTAACCTCTAACATGGGAGCTTTACTCAGGTGTGAGGCTCGAAATCCTGACTCCACCCCTACCGACAAAAGGTCAGTCAGGGTCCTGAGCCCCAGGCTGCCATCTCATTCCCGGGCCCCGTTTGTGTTCGTGTCCCCTTGAATTATTCAGTGTTCCTTCCCCTTTTGGGGCGCTTCTGGTTGTGAATTATGTGATTATTCAGCATTAGGGAGACTTTGGGGAGTTTTAACTGTAGTGAGTCAGTGATTAGAGTGAGATTATAAAAGTTACATCAAGGGCATTCAGTCTGTAGTCAGGGAGGCGTCATCGAGGAACAAGTGAAATTCAGAAAGATCCCCCCCTCCCTTTCATAATCCAGTGTCTTGTGTTCCACAAGCACATTTGTAAAAAGGGATATTGCAGAGTCCATGAATCAGGTAGGTAACCATTTCCACTGAAGCTAACTAGATGGTCAATCTGCAAACAGCGAGTTACTGAAGTCAGTGAGGAGCTTCAGCCCCTTCCAAGCCATAACTTAGGAAAACTTCTTGTCTAAATACGAAGTGGGAGGGACCTTAGGCAGCTTCTGGGATGGGAGATGTTTTCAAGGTTGCCGGGGTGATTGTCCATACACAGGATTATTGCAATATTAGTGTGGAGTCGCAAGAAAAAACCTGGACCGTGAAGCTGAGCATGAGAGTGAACAATGTGAAGGTAAAAAAGTCAGGTTGCAAGGGCTGGAGCCAGTTCTGGGCAGCACAAGGCAGAGGTGCACCCTTGACAGGATGCCAGTCCCTCACACACTGCACACACCCCCAGTGGGAAATTTTGAGACACTCCTTGGTCACTTCAAATCCATAGACAGAGAAGGCTGGATTCGAACCCCCGTTCCTGGAGTTATGAGGCAGTGAGGCACCATGAGAACTGAATGCCCAATATGCTTATTTATTGTTACATGGTTGTGTAAGGCAGTGTTCCCCCCCCCCCAACGGCCCATGTATTGCTGTACCAGGACCTAGGAGGGAGCAAAAACATGGACTGTCCAGGGGTCCCCAAGGACCGGGTTGGGAAGCGCTGGTACAGGGAAGGAACATCACCTGTGTGTTATGTAGAAGCTGCGTTTTACGTGTGGGCACTGCAGGGTACCATAGTCTGTTTTGTGCCAGTGCTGTCTGCTATGTTGTGGAATTTAGTGTATTCCTGCTCTCAGCCCAAACACCTCATTTCTTCAGATGCTTTTTAGCTCCGTTTCAGTACAACCGTTTCTTACGTGTGAGTCATAGCTGGGAAATTGGCCGTATCCCCGTACGTGCTTATATTTACAGGCTTGCACATATGGAGAGCGGGCTCCCAGACGGGGGCCCAGGCTGTACAGGGTTTTTTTTTTTTTGGTGCACTTTTTTGCTCAACTCTGGAACTGTATTTATCCAGATGAATATCAGGGGGTCAAAGGTGTTTTCATGGCAGAAATATTGAATACTGTTTTGATTTTTATTTCAAAATAGAAATCAGATTAATGTCAAAGAATATGTCGGGAGTATTTGAGCTTGACGTTATTCCCCTTTCACCTGTGCACATGTGATCGAAGCTTGTGCCATGTTTTGAAATGCCTCTGCTCTAGGACTTTGACCCATGAGTCCTAGAGCTCCGTCGTCATTTAGGTGTCCTGCAGTTCGCGTTCTCTGCACTCTATAGCAGCGTCAGACGTAGCAGGTTCCCCCTGAGATGAACCCTGTGTGGAATCTCCACATACGCTGGCTGGTTTGCTTCCATGAGCCGCTCTGGTCAGAGACACTTTCTATCTCAACCGTCTCGTGTAGTGCTGTTGAAAAGCGAGATGAGGAATCGCGTTCTTATGATGGGGAGGGATGGAGGTGGAAATTGGGACCTGACTTTGGCTCGCCGCCCTTTCCCGTTGGGGGGGGGTGGTTGGGGGTGAGATTTTCTTCCACACTCGTTAAATCATTTATCAGTGCACTGTCTAATCGTTTTAAAAAGCAAACTGCGCCTCAGCTTTCATGTGAGTAATCTGTTGTGATGGAGCAGCCAACAGCCCCCCCCCCCCAGATCGCGCAGAGACACACTCCCCAGTGTAAACTCCCCCATCGCTGCCTGGGGACCTGCAGCTGGCGAGCGGCTCTGCAGGCAGGGCACATCCTGTCCCCTCCCCGCCCCCACACGCCCTCCTGGGCATCGCCCAGGGCCGTACCGGATGCCGGCAGAACAATGCCAAGGGCTGCGCCCAGGAATAGAAGGCCCCGGATCCCCCCCGATGAGTGATTAGCCAGTCTGACCCGCGAGATTCCAGCAGCTCCCCGGTTTGATGCAGTCTGTTCACACATCCCACTCTCTCTCCCTGTCGGACTCAGCAGGCCACTGTGACCTCGCAGGCCATCCGGCCCGCTCCTCCCGCTCAGGCCAAGGTGCTGCCGTCTCCCACTGCAGCCGGCAGCCCCGCCCTCCAGGTGGCCTCGTCGGCAGCGGCTCCGGTGAGCGGCCCTTCCTGCGCCTTCCCTACTCCGCCAGCAGATGTCGCTGTTCCCCAAGCTTCATCGGTCTGCCTTGGGCTGTTATTTTACCCATTGCGGGGGCATGAATCGGCTGAAATTAAACCCTATTCGCCACCGGTTTTCTGATAATCGAGGGTTCCCTCTTGTGCCTTGGAATGCTTTAGCAACTGTAAGTTTTTCAGAAAGACCCGTAAGAAAGTAGGGGTCTGTCTCAGAGAATCCCAGGCAGCCCCTGTGAAGTGGGGGAGGTGTCACATTACCCATCTGTCCTTCCCAGGCTTGCTGTGAGGATGTCACATCACGTTTGTCTGTCCCCCCCCAGAAGGCGGCCGTGATCGGGGGCCCGGTGCCGGCTCCCCAGCAGCACCAGACGGTGATTGCGGCGGGACAGAGCGCCCCTCAGACTGCTGTGCCCGCCCCCTCTGGCCCGGGGGCCTCCGTTATCTCCCAGGTCTGTAGGCTGAGCTTTTCACCACAGCTGTGATTAGATTTGACTTAAAACCCGTTCCCCTCCTCTTCCTGTGAATCCTTCCTTCTCTCTCCCCTCATCTGATTCCACTTCCGTCGCACCGTCTGGCCCCTGAGCCTGAAGACCTGTCCTGATGTTGGTCGTCACACGCTTTTCTTGCTCCCAGGAGATGCAGGAGAATGTGAAGAAGTGCAAGAATTTCCTGGCCACCCTGATCAAACTGGCGTCCCACAACTCACCCTCGCCGGAGACGTCCCGCAACGTGAAGGCTCTTGTCCAGGACCTCCTGGTGAGAGAGCTCCACCGGTGCCCCCATCTTCATCTCTGGTGTGGCCAGGGTCCCATAGTGGCACTTTATGCCTATATCTGTAGGGTTAGGGCGTTTCTGGACAGCAGGTGGCGTCGTCTGCAGAGAAATATAGGGGGATAATGGGTGAAGGTGTTTTTTTATATTGTTCGTATAGTACAAGGCGTGAATTATTAAGCAGCAGAAATTAAGATTATCATTCCAGGCACTGTTACTTTTGGTTTTGGTATTCTGTAAGTTTTGTATGGTTGAGTTCACTTCCTCATCCTGCCTGTAGATGGCAGCAGACACCACTTTTTTGACACAATAACTTGCTGTCACACCGTGTTGAATTACTATGGCTTTTTTTTTTGGCTCCTGTCATGTGATAAAGCCCAATAATGGTGCACATCAGCTGAGAGAGGATTAGAAAGCCCACACTTTCTCACGATGTTTTGTAGTCTCTCGTAAGTTCAGATTAGCGCTGCAGGAAGAGGTTCCTCACCCAGCTCCTTGAACCCTTTGCAGGATGCCAAAATTGAGCCGGAGGAGTTTACGAATCGGCTGCAGTCGGAGCTGAAGTCGTCGCCGCAGCCGTACCTGGTTCCCTTCCTCAAGGTGTGTCCCCCAGCACATACAGCACTGTGCCCCTGAAACGATGGGACCACACATGACATGACACCTGACATGCAGGCCACACTATCACACCGCCAAGCCCCTCACTCCCGGACTGAGCCCCAGAGTCCTCATGCCAGCCTCCATGATTGCCATGGGGGGGGGGGGGCGGTCTTCCAGTTCCATTCTAGCCATGATAATTCAGTAGGATTTACTTTAACTGTGCTGTCAATCACTGGCATATCCAGTGTCCCTTAAACTTAAAGCAGTTATTGGTAGTGCAGTTATTGGTAGTGATGACCAAATAAAGCTTCATGAACCGATTGCTGTATTTTCTGTTTTCTAACACCACTAGACTTGGTTCAAGAAGTTTCATTGGCCATCGCTAGTGATTGGCAGCTCTCATAGCACCGCCTACTGCGGTTCTCATTTACCCATTGATGGCCTGTTTGATGGCAGCCAGATGATTCGCCAGTCCTCCCTGACCTGCCCAGACCCCTGCGATGCTTCTTGGGTCTTCGCTCTGTACTCGTCTCATTTCTTCCGTCCTCCCCACTAATAGAAAAGCCTCCCAGCCCTGAGGCTGTCGCTGCTGAACAGCCAGCAGTCCCTGACGCAGCCCCCCCAGGCCGTCCCGCCCGGGGCTGTCCCCGTCTCTGCCGCCGCCCCCGGCACGATGCCCACCATCGTCGCCAGCCCCGCCATCAGGGTGCGGCATCCCAACAGCATGGCTGCCAGCGTTGCCACCGTCCCGCCTGGCGCTGTGCAAGCCAACGCGTCAGCCCTGGTATGTACCCCCACCCCCCAAGCCACACCTGGAAACGGCACACTTAAATGGCTCAAACGACTTTTGGTTTTATTACGAGATGGTCTTGAGGTTAGTGGGGAGATTTTACAGGGTTAGCCAATATACGCCCACAACGGGACAAGCTTGGCTTTGCAGGAGATGGGCCAGCAGAGGTCACGGGGGTCACCTGCCATTCATCGTGTACCAAAGATGCCGGAGATCTGGAGACAACGTACAGCCGCCTGACCTGTCCCAGCCTTGCCCAGCCAAGCACAGGGCATGTTCTGAGCTCTGCCTATGACATAGAGTTTAAATCTGGTTGCTTGATGCAGGAGCACCTGTAAATAGTGGAGACAAACCGTGTTTAAACGTCCCCTCTGACCTGCTCGGTTATCCAGCCTGATAAGCTGTACCATAGTCCTCAGCACATTGGAACACGATGCGAGTCGGGAGTGGTTATATATGCTGAATGTCCCCCCACTGCCACCCCTTCCTGCATCTGTCTGTGCCTCACATGATCGCTTTTGTGTAAGTCTGTAAGGATGTGAGCATATAGATGGATGATCCTAGGTGAACTTTAAAGGTACAAAAGTGAATCCCGTCTTAGATGGTGATTAACCTGGAATTTTGGTGCAGAATACAGACGGATTGAGGATTGTAGTTTGCTAGGAGGGCCGACGCCTCGGATCTCACGGTTAGTGAGGAGGGCCGACGCCTCGGATCTCACGGTTAGTGAGGAGGGCCGACGCCTCGGATCTCACGGTTAGTGAGGAGGGCCGAGCGCCTCGGATCTAAAGTAATTTGCATCCTTACACTCTGTCACTGGTTGTGCTGCTCTACACGACAAATGAACCACCATCTGTTTTTTTGTTCCAGGGTATCAAGAGAGCAGGTGTTCAGGGCCCCCCAGTCAGGATGCCTGTGGTTATTACACAGGCCGTTCGAGCTCCAGGTACGGTTCTGTGTTCAGTGCTCACACGCGCGCGGATTCTCACACGCGTGCACATGCGGCATCCCACCACAAAGTGACTCAGAAGCTCACAGCTGCTTGCATGTGTGGAGGAGATTTACCTTAATCGGCTGAATCACATGACACTGATATCGCGCCCCCCCCGAAAAGCCGGCCGTGCATGTGCGCAAATATAGCAGCATCTGCTTTAACTTCCGCTGGCCCGCTCTGCTCTGGGTTATCCGTAGGTGGCTACAAGTCCTCGACATGGACTGCAGCAAGTCTCTATAAATACCTCCTGCCTTTTGGCGAGAAACATGCCTGTTGAAATCAAGTTTAAATTCACTCTGGCTGTCTGTGTTGCCTTCCCGCAAACGTGTCTCGGGGCTCTGGGGACCTGCAGCCTCTTTGAGCCACAGCGATATTGACAGTGTGGAATGTTTCGTACACAAACCTGGGGAGAATTCCCCGCTGCAGTCTTTACAATCTGCTATATGTGTGTTTGTCTTTTTTTTAAATAACTCCACAGGGGACGGGCATTTAACACAAACGGTTAAAGGTATTCCTGTAGCAATGACAAGCTGTTTGACAGAAATGCTAATGTGATAATAATGTTTTTATTATTATTTTTTAAATTATTTTTTTGTATCACTCTCCTAGGTGCAATATTAAAGGGGCCAGCAATCCAGGCAAACAAAAGTGCTGTTGCCTTTGCTGTCCAAGGCTCAGCCAATCAGAAAAACAAGCTGAACGACCCTGGAGGCGGTTCTTTCAGGTATGCCACATGCAACAAGGGTCTATTCCTGGGGACTGGGGCATGGCATCCCACGTGTCACCAGCAGGGGGCAGCATTTCACAGAGATTAAATATGAGCCTGTATATGTCATGTGAAAGCAGTCGTTTTTTCTGTGTTCTTTAATTGCTACCAGTGATTCTTCTTGTGCCATGTAAGGCACAGTGTGAGGCTCTGAGTGCACACAGACGCATTATCGAGCCATCATAAGGTGAAGAGAGGCCAAATCCCCCATATCAGCAGTCCTTAGAAATCTTTATTTTGTGTCCAGATTCAGTTTGTATAAATGGTTCATATAAATCGAAAAAGTTTACTGTAATAAATGCTGCTATTTGTCACTTACTGCAGGTTAATGATAGGGAACTCATTACAGTTGGCTGCAATGAACTGCTGTCCCATTCGGGGGATGTATTATGGCCGTACTTGCAGTGCATTGTGGGATATGATCCAGATCGCTGTGATCCCACTGGGTTGGAGCAGCCATTAGGGCCATGGCTATTGGATGGTGGGTCCAGTGGACCTGGGGGGGCGGT